CATAATTTTACAAAAGTTTTTCTTGTTTTTGTTGGAAAACAGTTTTTTAGTTTACTTTTTGTTTCATTTTTTTAATCATTTTTCTTATATGAACTCTTCAATTTAATAAAAATAATTTATAATTTATCTTGTCTTTTGTATTTTTTGGTGTCCATATAACGCGGTACGAATGATGTGATTTGTACTAAAATCTGTGTTTCTTATAGCGCTGTTTCCATACAACGCGGTAGCCGGTTTCCATACAACGCGCTACGAATTAGCTTGGTTTGTACGGTTAAATCCCAATTTCTTATAACGCGGTTTCCATATAACGCGGAACGCACTTACAGCGTTATAGGAGGTTTGACTGTATTAGTAGTACACCTTTAGGGTGTTATCGTGGTAAAATATTTTCGTCGATTAGCCAGCAAATATTAAGAAAAATCTTTTAAAGTTTTGATTTTTGTTGCATACATTTTTACATTACCTTAAATATATAAATAATATATTTGTAATAATAATAATACACACATAATAATATATATTAAATAGTCTATATGTATATATACATATATATATATTATATTTCTGGACCTAATAATTCTTATATTATTATGATATATATTTTAGAGAAAAATACATGAAATAAATCTATACAACAATTAAAATGCATAAATGTTAATTGCAGGTAACTATAGTGATTTTTTTATAATTTCATATTCATTTAATATATTATATAATGATAAATAGATCAGACATTACAATAAGTTTTAATAAGTATTTTCTGAAGGTTTGCTGTAAAAAAAAGGAATTTTTTAAAAGTTGATTTATATTATTTTTATTTACTTTCCATTTCGAAATTATTTTGGCAAGCAGACAACTTATATATAACATGCGTCAATCAACTTCAAGTTAGAAGCTTAAAATCACTAAATAATTTTCGTAAATATCGAATATACCCATAGATTCTAAATTTATTTATCGTTATTAAATCAAATAAGATATTAACAAGTTGAATTAGTTTTTAAGATATTTAAGCATTTTCTTATATCCAGTTTAAGGCACTGTTCAAACTGGACTTTTTTATTTGAACTTTTCTAATATGAAGGTATTCACATATCGTCCTACTAAATAAAATAATTTTCATTTAAAATTCTTATTTTAAATTTTTGTCCAATATTGTATACTATTATACTAAACATGAGGATTATTAAAAAAATGTATTAATTATCAAACAGACTTGCGATTAAAAATAAAAATAGAATTATTATAAAATATTAGTAAGCTAGCGTACGTAGTGTGAATTCAGATTTTGTAGATAAAGGATTCCTTTCAACGATGTCTTTACCTATCGCAATATTAAAGCCTTAACGAAAAGAAACTACCTATCCCAATAAGATTATCTATAATTGTGTTCCAATATATAAATACATGATTTTATAGAAAATATAATGTAAAATTATAATTATTTAACGGGAATAAATTTTACTCGAAGTGGTTTAGAAGGGTTTAAGGTTATATCTGTTGCCATTACAACATCATCAATGTTATCGACTGGTTCCAAATAGAAATTTCGCACTATATGTGCTACTATCAATTTAAGCTCTAACATTGCATATTTTTGACCTATAATAAAATAAACACGTATATAGATAGATACATTTGTTAACAGTACTTACGACATTTACCAATACAGTTTCTTGGGCCTGCGCTGAATGGAATATATGAGTAAGGATAATGTCCTTTAACATTTTCTGGCAAAAATCTATCGGGATCAAAAACATTGGGATCTGGCCAATATCTTGGATTTCTGTGTACACTATATATTTGAACAGWGCATATYGTTCCCGACGGGATTAAATAATCATCTAAAAATTGATTAATTATTTTATTGCAATGATAAAGTTAAAATGCACGTWAAATGTAACTATATTACGTACTTAGTTGCAAGTCATGAGTTAAAGTACGAAATATACTATGAACGCTTGGATATAAACGGAGTGATTCCTTTATACACCTATCCAAGTACGAAAATTCTTGAAGATCTGCGGTCGTCAAATTGTAATCATCTTCAAGCATAATTGTGCTCACTTCGTCTCTTATACGTTGCTACGAATAAATATTCTGTTACTTAAACAATACAGACACTACGGGAATTTTTGCCGATCAATGTTTTAATTATTTATTGGATTGGAAGGAATACCTGGACATCTTGGTGTTTTGCAAAGAGACTCAAAGCAAAGATCAATGCCATTGCCGTTGTGTCGTGACCCTGAAAAAAATTTTTCTCATAAAATATTAGATTAAAAACTGAATTTCTGATCCTTGCTACTATAGTGTATCGATTCCAACGAGGGAAAGTTTCGACGATAACAATTATTGTTTCTTCTAGTTTTGACACTGTTTAAAGGAACTTAATCCTTACATATAAATGTTCCCTTGAAACATAAGAGATTTTGCAATCGATTAAAAATGAAGCGAGATAAGCTGTTTTTTAGACATGTGTTTCTTCATTACTTTTACCTCAACAAAATTGCAATTAAACGCACCGCTTAATAATTGAAGCTTTTTTAAATGAAAACATTTGTAAAAATAGCAGATAGAGTTTCTTTAAATTTTTTTGAAACAGCGATTTGGGAGTTGTTTCACTATAAGAGCTTCTTGATAACGATCAAACTGAAATATGTTTAGAGTTTTTCAAAACGTTATACGTTGCCTTAAAACACCTGCATGCAATGAGAACAATTTATAAGGAAAGAAAATAAGTACAACATAATTTAAACGGCAAAAATTAATTTTTGTTTTTTTACATTTTTTTATTATCTCCTATTATTTGAATTAAATATTACAGCTTACCTCAAACATGAAAGTATCTACTTCTTCTCGAATTCCTTTGTCATCAATTTGATTACCATTTACTGAAGCGGCTATAAGTAGATCTAGCATAGAGAGTTTTTTCTTATGTATCGAATCTGTGAAATGAATGTATGAATAATATTTTTCCTAAAATATACGCATTTTTTATATTACAATAAATAAAATACTTGTATTTATTTCTTCCGAGTTTTGAAAGGAAGTGTCAATATTATCCGTTTCTTCAAATTGGTATAAATACTTTCCATTAGTTTTTTCGTGAAATCGTTTTCTTTCTGCAATTATCTATAGTAAGTGTAACAATTTGAAAAATCTAAAGGAATTCATGTAATTGTAATTTTAGTTTTTAGCGGATTTGAATGACTAACTTACGTCTTCTGAAAATCTATGTAATGTGTTCAATACTTTTTTGTGAAGTCGACCAAGTGGAGAGAGTCCAAATATACAATCTAAATAGTACCAAGGTCTTATTAATCTATAAAAAATAAATTTTTTTTTTTGATCACATGCCCCTTCTCCTAATCGACTAATATACTTTTAAGTAACTGAGATATTTATTACCTATACGTCACGATTTTTCCGAAAGTATGAACAGCATTACGATACTCAGATTCAATTTCTTTCTTTTCCTTTAAAGAGGTACCCAAAGCTGTTTCTGCAAGTAATCTTACATAAATTATTTTTCTTCTTTGAAGATCAATAAGTAAAGAAATATTTGTCTACTTACCACATATTATGTTTAGTGTATGTTGCGTAATGAATGTTTTTAAATTTTTAACAATAGCGTCTCCTTGTCTCTCTTTGTTGAGGGATTCAACTAGGCAGTGTGACTCTTTGTTGAAGGTTGTAACACTATGTTCCAGAATTTTAAAGTGGAATGCGGGTGTTAACATTTTCCGCCTTTTTTGCCATTTCTTACCTTACAAATTATACAAATCATTAAATACGAAGAAATATGTTAATTTTTCATGATTTTTTTGAGCTATTACCTGAACTAGTCAGCAATCCATAGGATAACCAAGGCCTCAAGAAGTTATAAACTTCATCTTTATGAATAGCTTTTGTGCTCGTCAGCAGTACCTGTCAAGATAATTCCTTTTTTCTTTGTTCGTCAAAATTTCGCTATTTATTTATATATAAGGAGTAGGTAGAAAAAAGAAAGAAAAAATTTCTCTTGCTACTGTTTTTAATCACTTACCTTAATATCATCCGGATGAAGTACAAATACTAGAAAATATATAAAGGTCCACATTTTGTAAATTGGAAAATACTCATTATTTAGTTCCCAAATTTTTTCAAGCAAACTACCTGTTGTATAAACAAAATGTTTGTATCATGTAAATATAGAATTTGATAGAAAAAAGTTCATTTAAAAGAGTTTTGCTTCTAGAAGAGCTTACAATCCTTTACACAAAGTAAGTTTCCAATTATGGGATATGTTTTTGGTCCTGGAAGACAGTGAAGTATTCTTCCAATCCTTCCATATCTTATTTTGCAGTGCAAAAAAAATAGTAATAGAATTGAGCTTAAGAAGATCGTAAGGAACATTATATCTGAGAAATAAAAGAAATAATTGCTATAAATGTCTTTTAAATATATAGTAAAAGTCTGCATGAAGATGAAAAGAAAACATCGTGTTTTTTTATGTTACTTAGCATACGTAAAAATAAAGAAGAGTTACCCAATATAATTATGGTATTGATCAGATTTATGGAAATGCTAAATAACTAACGAATTTAATTATTGTTAATAGTAATGTATAGACTATTATATAATTTTTTGTGTTGAGCTAACGCAAGTCAAAACTAAAAAAGATTATGGAGAGAAGATTACAGAAGAAACGTATCTAAACACGCAGAGAATAATATTGATATTTAGAACCATGGAAATTTCCGAAATTATATAAAAATTGCATTTACAAATTTACAGAAGCAGTAATTGATATTGTTAAAGTATGGATCAGCGAAGGAAAGGACTTAACTATTTGAATGATTTATTACGACTAGACTTATGCACAAGTGAGCTCTTCTTTTGTTCCTGAAACACTGAGTCTTTATTCCGTCTCGAGCAGTGTCAAATCGTCGTATGTTTTTTTTGCGTACTCACTCGGGTGGGGAGCCGTACACGTGTTACGCAACGGCACACACTCTCGCCCCCTCACTCTATAGCGCGTTCTACAGTATGCATAATAGAAATGGATTTATATTATAACACATCGCCTTAGATTTATATTAAATATTCCACTTTACATATCGTTGCTTATACAATACTCATTAATTTGCGGAATTTTCCAAGCTATTCTTTACATAATGCTTCGGTAAATATACCAGCAATATTCTCATTCTAATCAATTTTAATAATTAATTTTTTGTTCTCTAACACTCTCATACACAAAATGATAATGAATGTCTATATGTCTTGAATTATTTGTAAATTTTCCATAGCTAGCAATATTTATTGCGCCTATATTATCTTCATAAACTTTAATTGGATCATTTAAATTTACGTCATGCATTTTCATTAACTCTGTTACAAGTTTTAAGTTATTGGTTTTGATAACATTACATATTCTGCATAGTTCGACGTTACAGTTTTTTGTTTACGCAATTTCCAATCAATTACGTTTCCGAACACTCTGATCGTTTAGTCTGGTGTGAGCCTTCTATCATCAATATCACCAGCCCAATCAGCGTCTACATAACATTCTATAATTTCACAGTTTTCATATTTTTTATAATTTAAACTCAAGAGAGTCTCTCTTGTTAGATATAAATACTTCAATATTCGCAATGCATATTTCAAATGTGTATCCCTATAACAATTTTGAAACCTACTTAAATAATTCTCGCTGTAACTTACATCTGGTCGCATACCATAACTTATATAAGATAATGCACCAATTAAATTTCTATACTTAATATTAGACTCGAATTTGGAAGCCTTTTCAATTTTTAAGTTTACTTCCAGTGGTGTACTATACAACCTATGTATAATGCTCAATGTATTTCGTATTTGTTATATGTTACGTCCCAGAAGGGGGATTGCACAGGAGCAATTACAAAATTCGAAAATAGAGATAGAAAAAGAAATTTATTCTTAAACTTATAACCAAATGTAGAAAACTTAATAATAATAACAAATTTCGAATCTTAGCATCTAATCCCGGTAACAAAAGCTTAAAAATAATAACAAATTTCGAATTATAGTAACAAAAAGTGGAATACTTATGATTAATAGCGAATATCTGAACTAAATGTCTAATGCGAACTATACAAATATTTGTTAGACTATGATCTAACTTTGACTAGGAGAGAAAATATTTTATGATAACTTGTCGGAAAGATGTGGTAGACTGCCTGCCGGCGAGAACGCAACCTCTCTATGTAGGGTCTTATCGCAACAGTGGGGCTACTTCCCACTTACGCAAAATGTTTCCCGAACCACCAACTTCTCTCCCGCGAAACGCAACCCTTGAAAAGAATGTGCCGACGATTATTATTCTCGGAAGCGAATAAATATTAATTATTATCAAGTATGAATTTTCCGTAGTGACCAAGGTATAATCTGAATAAATGTTTCGTAGAGAAGTTGGTAATACGGGAGCGCGAAGTCGGTATTAAAGACTTCCGACGGACCCTCTCCCATGAACGACAATTGATCAGTGCCGTTCTAWTTAACAAAATGCCAATATCGATGGTCGTTCATGTGGGAGTTCTTATAAAATATAAGTGACTAACGAAAAATACGGCGTACAAAAATATTACAGTATACAAGGTAACAAAAGTATCGGATAAATTTGAAATTAGAGTGTTCTCGACTTTCAATACAACTATTATTAATATATAAGAAATTCAAGGTTAACATAAGAAAATAGAAGAAAACACATTGATCACGTGATCCAAGCCTATGGCGTACGTTATCGTAAACACGTCGATCGCGTGATCTGTTGCTACCCGCGATAGTTGCGAAATAAGGATTTGAACGAAAATRWRATTCYAAGAAATACSYAARAAGTAAAAACTAACAGAAGAAGAGTAGCATTCGGATATAAGTGGATATAAATAGTGTCGTTCTAAAAAGGACAGTCATGTCTCAATAACAAATAAATTCGAAATTCAAATAATCGCCATAAATCCTAAACTTGTAAAATTAAATATTAACCGAATATGTTGAATCTCGCTGGTATTAATAATATATCGAAGTTAATCACGTTAGGACGTGACATATAAAAGCTAGTAACTCGATATAATCCTTTTGACTTAGTTTCATTACTCCTTTTATAATTGTAATCTATACTTGAGCCGTTTATTTTGAGAGTGGCCTAAGTCCATTTATACTCAAATTGAAATATTTAAGGGTTTGTGTTTCAATGCAATTAAAAATATACGTAGAGAATACTAATGAGTTATGTTGCTTAAGTGTATCTAAAGGTGTTAAATTTACAGTTTCTATTAAAATAATGGCAATTATTAAGTGAATAATATGCGTTTTCTTACAAAGAATGGAGTTAGGCCACTTTCAAAATTAACAACCAGCTTCGTTATTAACTTTGAAGGAACCGAAGTCCATTCAACATAATTTAAGATGCTTCACAAATTGAAAAAAAAAAACAATACTCATTTTATTTTACATATCTTTATAACACTTTAAAAACATAAATTATGCGATTCAAAACATTTTTTACAAACATAAATTACAAAACAATTTTCTACTCAACTACATTTTGTGTATGTGAAAGGGATTTAAAGAAATTGTGATGTATATCGTAATAAGTCAATTATGTCCTTGAATTTTGCGGTTGTAATTTGTCTGATATTTTTATACAGTGATGTCAATAYAATATTTYCGAACTTTCTTGRKCTACCCCGACGTGGTAATAAATTCAGGACTTTAAAATTTTCGTTCTCATTMATTGATGTCTAATAGAAAATTTTATACGGTTCATTTTTGACAAAATGCATCCAACATATTTTAAACCAGTTTATTGGTTCTCCGTTAGAATTCTTTACCCTTTTAAAAATTGCGTCTTTTAATAATTTTGTTGATACAAAATATTCTTGTCTCATTTCATGTACAATAAAGTTATTATCTTTCCGATACTTTTCGATAATATTGTAATAATCTCGGGGGACAAATAGTAATTTATTATTAGCGCTTTTGTTATATTGCGTTTATAATATGCTACTGAAGTAGCTGTAATTTAATTGTAAATGGACTTAGGCCATTTTAAAAATAAACGGCTCAGTTATTTAACTAACTCTGAAAACTTATGTGTCCAGAATTACCGTATTTACTCGGAATATAAGTAATCTTAAATGATAGATAATTTGAAGTTGTACATGTGACCATAGGTAACCGGAAATAATTGACAAATGGAGTTAGGCTACTTTCTAAATAAACGGCTCACTTATTCCAAGATAGTTTGTTATCCGTACAACGCTTTTGCTAATTTTAGCATTCTGTCTGTTCCATCATCATAAAAACGGAGCTATATACAAGGAGGACGATCGAGATAGGCGTTTGCGTCGAATTTGTGTTGTTGAAAATGAGAGAATGTAGAGTACGATAATTATCCACGAGGGCGGCGGTGATGTTCTTAAGTTTGATTTATTAGATGTACAAATAAGTTTCTGCCGTTTTAATGTAGATAGCGCGGCGCGGAGTTTCCG